TCACAAGAAGCCTGGGAGGTAGGTTCACAGAAGAGGACACTAGGGTAGACAGAAGCTAACTGACTTACCGAGGTTCAACACACAGCCAATAAATGTCTGAGGTAGGACTTAAACTCAGGTCTTCCTGCCTCCAAGCCCAAAGTAATTTCAGAAGGGGAATGGTAAGAGGAGGCCTGGTGTAGGTGAACCTTGAGCTAAGCTCTGAAGGGAGGTAGGGAGTTCTAACAGGCAGAGGTGAGGAGGCTGAAAAGTCCAAGCAGGGGGGCACATTCTGCCAAAAGCAGGGTTTTGGTAATTTGGCATCAGCATTGCCCGCTGTATTTGATGAATTTCATAACCTGTTCGCATTGTCTTCATTAACGTTGTTATGGTCTTTGTACGCATCATTCTTTTGGCCCTATTTCTCTCTGTGTCACTTCATCCAAGTCTACTAATTCTCCCCAAATTCTTCATTTTTGTCTTTATAGCACAATGATGTTCCACTATTTTAGTATAAAGCAATTTGTTCAACCATTCCCCTTTTATTGGGCATATAGTTTTTTCTAGTTTATTGCTTTTAAAGATAATGTCACAGTGGTTCTTTTTGTAAATATGTATAATTTCTTTCTTACTGTCACTGATCTCTATGGTAACATAGCAGCAGATGATTGACTGAAAGGCTAGTAATAATTTTGCGATTTTTCTTACATAATTCTAGTTTTTTCTCACCGCAGAATGGTCAAACCAATGCAAGGCTCTACACTCAGTGCGAATGTGCCTTAAATGTCACTTCAGACGTTGATTTTTTTTTCCACATCTAAACATCCTTGCTAACTGTACTGATGTAAGATAATACTTCAAATTCATTTATATGTGTATATTTCATATTATTAGTGATTCTGAATATTTTTTCAGATGCTTATTAATAGTCTGTGTTTCCTCTTAGGAGACAAAAAAACAGTGGAAAACACTGAATATATAGTCAGAGGAGTTATTTTTAATTTCTTGCTTAGCCACTTAGGGAAGTCACATAACTTTGAGGGGGCAGGTTAAATCTTCTCATCTGTTAAGAAGAAGAAGGAGGAGGAGGAGGAGGAGGAGAAGAGATTGAAATAGATGACTACCAAGGTTCCCTCCAGCTTTACATCTGTGATTCTGTGAAAACTATTCATATACTTTAGCCACCTGTTTTTTGGAGAATGGTTCTTAGTTTTATAGATTTGTTTTAATTTGCTATAGATTTTAGATATCAAACTTTTTTTTCAGATATTTTAATGTAAGGTTCCTTCTCCCTCCCCCATTTGTATCTTTTCTTCTCATCTGTTTCATTGATTCTGTTAGTATAAACATTTTAAACATTTTGTATAATTAAAACTATGGATTATAATCTCCTCTATTCTATTTCTAGTTATAAATACTCCCCCTATCCACAGTTTTAAGCAATATAACCTTCAGCTTTCCATAAATCTTTAAATGTAGCTGTGGTGCATGGTTATTGAAAGCCAGCTCAGATCATGCCAGGGAAAAGAAACATCATCATCATGATTCAGGAAGGAGGGAAAGGCCTGCAGTCATGACCCAAGGCATAGAAGATTATGGCACAGAGTAGGGAGGGGGTCAGGTCTGAGCCTGGGCATTAGCACTTTGGGGATATAATTAGTAAGTAATACAGAAAACTAGCAAAAGTTTATAGGTCATCTGAAAACTACAAGAGTCTTAATGCCTTCTATCCCCTCTTCTGCTAGTCAGCCAGTATCATTAAAGAAACAGCAGGGGATCCAGAGGACCAATGTCCATTTTACATTTTTAATCGTTTCTTTTATTCGTTTCCCACAGCCATAGAATTCACTTTTGTGGTTGGGCTATACACAACAAGCCTCTCCTACCTGGGCTGGTCCTCAGACAGCAGATTCAGTCTAGGCCAGGACTGAATTCAAAGACTTTTCAGAACAATAAGACTTGATGGAGCTCTTAAAGGAATAGCCTTCATGAAGCCAGGCTTACCTCCACGCCGCAGTAAGGCACCCAAAGAGAACTTTGTTGAGGCAGGAAAGAGAAGATTACCAGAAGTGTCTGCGCAAGCAAAAAAATCTGCACTGAATTCCAATCAACCATGTTAGGCACTCAGCAATCTCTGTCATCTCTCTCTGTATAGCCATTCTAAAATCCTGCTTTATTTAAAAAATACTTTCAAAAATTCATCCATATTTGATAAGCATTTATTAAGCACACACTGTGTGCCAGGTATTACACTGGGCTATTGGAATACTCTGATAATAATGAAATAGTATCTGCTTTAAATAAACTTATATTTTATTGGAAGGAAACAACATGTACATAGAAAATTAAGTGCAATCTGTATTTATCATCTTTCTCCATTTCTATGTATGTGTATAGGTATTCAATCATCTATCTTAGATACAAAATAGTTTCTAAAAGAGAGCACTGGATAACTGAGGCTACCAGGGGATTCTATCAGGCTAAAATTAGGAGGGAGGGAATATGAGAAGTAAAGGAAAGGTAAGAATCAAAAATATCTCTGGGATCATGGACGTCTGTGATGGGAAAGATTATGATGCTCTCAATAGAAATTGGAGATTTAGGAAGCAATGAGGGGTTGAGGACAAAAATCATTCATTCCGTTTTGGATACATTGGGTTTGAGATGTCCACATGACAGAAATCAGATGGTTTAAGCTGATTCTGGAGGTACTTGCATTGTACTTAGCTCTATTCCTTGGATGCCCAAAATACTTATATTTAAAATGGTGCCTAGTAAAGGTAATCCTCTTGTTATAGGAACTAGTTGGTGGAAGACCTAAATCCAAATCTAACCTCAGACACTGTGTGACCCTAGAGAAGTCACTCGGCCTGTGTCTACCTCAGATTCATCAACGATAAAATAGAGATCATAATAGCACTTATCTCACAGGATTCTTGTGATAATTGGATGGAGTAATAATTGTAAAGCACTTAGCATAGTACATTGTGTATAGTAGATACTGTCTGTTCAGTCTTTTGCCCACCCCAATAGACAAATGTCAACATTTTGTGCTTATAATTCAGGAAAATAATTGGTTATTACTTATTGCACATAAAGACTATCTGAGGGTCCTCCCAGCTTTGAGACTGTACAATTCTGAACAATCCTGAGCATCATTAAGCACCTGCTTACTAATTTCTAGGCTAACTTAATAGGTCTATGCCTCGGTTTTCTTATCTGCACAAACAGGCAGCTTGATCTCTAAGATCTCTTACAATTTTAACTGCTGTAATCTGGTTTGTTATGGATCAGAGACGAGGGAGTTATACCAAGGTAGGATCAAAGCTTCTTAGAAGAGTGGCTGAAGAAGGTTACCTTTCTAGTGGAGAAGCTCACTACTTGTTACCTTCTTACTCTATCTCCCTCTTTCTTGCCCATTTTAGCATGGGTACACAAAACAAGCTCCTTTTGCAGCTTTTTTTTTTTTTAAGCATTAGGTAACTGCTCTTCCTGCTTGTGCAGGACTTGTATGAGAGAAATACAAATTTGAGCTGAGGGGATATGAGTTCAAATCCCACTTCTACTACTTGGTACCTGTATGACTTTTGGAAAGTCATTTTATCTCTCTAAGACTCATTTTCCTCATCTTTAAAAAGAGAAATTTGAGCTAGATGACCTTGGAAGTCCTCTCCAGCTCTGATACCACATTCTTTACCCATGATCACCAATATAGGAGGTCATTTAGGAGGGTGGGTGTTGATAGACAATGAGGAGTTTTATAGCCTTGCATACTGGGTCAGTTTAGTTGGTGTTACTGTTTCCCTTTAGAAAAACTAGGCTTTTTATAGCTAATTGAATAATGGAAATGGAAGGCAAATAGCAGAGTTATTTTGTCTGGCTCAAAATTCTCCTCTCTCCCCCAACCCCCACCTTGGAAAGCAAAGGTTCCTAAAACATAATGAAATCACATTTAAGAATATGGCAAGCTGTTAAAAATATAGAACCACTGGGTATAGAGCTGGAGAGGAAACTGAAAGAGATGCTAGAAAAGCATCTTGCTCAATTCCCTCATTTTACAAATGGTGGGAGATGGGGCCCAAATTTAAAGGAAAACAAATTCAAGGAATGTTTTTTTTTAATTTCACTTATTTGTTAATTTATTTGTTTTGAATTTGCCCTGTGATTTCATCTGTGTAAAGAATTCTCTAGTGCAGAAACTCCCTCCACCAATTTAAACTGGCATCTAGTCTGTGTTTTATAACCTTGGAGAATTGCTTCAGTGCATTGAGACATTAAATGATTGCCTCATAGTTGCATAGCTAGTGTGTATCAGAAGCAAGATTTGAACTCAAGTCTTCCTGACTCCAGGGCTGGCTTTCTATCCACTACCTCACATTGATTGTTTATTAAAATAATATTATCATAAATTAATAACAAAATGTGAAGGCCATGATATAACAAGAGTGCACAAAGTTGAATTACAAGCAAATTTATAAGAGCATCTCTATTCTATAAAGTAGAGAACATTTATATTGACAAATATCACTTCTACTTGGGGTCCGGGTTTCATTCTGGGACTGGCTTATGCCAGAAAGTGAAGCAAGTTTATCAGTTTAAAGAAAGCTTTGTCAAGATATCCAACTAAACAAAGTCATCCCAAGGGCCTTAATAATGTAAGCGAAAATAGAACTGTAAGCCAATGAGCATAAAGCTATAGCAAACATTTATTAAGCACCTACTGTATGCAGTGTCTATAACCAGTGCTGACCATGCAGGCCAGGTACGACAGTACCTGCCTTCATGGAGCTTACTGTCTAGCAAGAAGACACTAACAGAGACAATACTAATGTACATTGTCGAGGATAGTCCTGATTCTGCTGTTTGAGAAATGTACTTGTTATCTGAAGTACTCAAAGCACAAGACATCCCTAACCCTGAAGTTTTTATGTGTTTATTTTTATTTTGCTGTCATTGATGTCCCCCTTCCTTCCCACCCTCCAACATTCACACTCCTACCTTGACTCCTTTCTACATTTCAGGTGCCAGGAAGTAAAATGTGCTTCATTAAAAACCCACAGCAAAACCCAAACTGTGCCCAAAACTCATTTGCAAACACAGAGTGCAGCTGCTTTCAAGCCACCGCCTAGCTCTCCTGACAAGAGGGAGTGTTCACAGCACAGCAGGCCTGAGTGAGCGCCAAGGGGAAGGAAAATGATTTAGGAGGAAAAGAGGAAAACAACAAAATGATTTCCCGATTGAGGAAAACACCCCAAGTATTTTCTCTCTGTGTCAAGGATGTATCCTCATAGGCCTGCTTTCAAAGGGAAAGGGCTTGGTACTCCACAAATGTGGCAGCTGCCCAGGATCTAATCTTGCAACTTGGAGATGATTTTTTTTTTCCCATGAGAGCTCAAAATACTTTCTCCTTAATCCTCTCCAAATACTAATACAAATGTAATAGTGTTTGTGTTTGGGGAAGAGAAAGTGTGTATGGGGTGGGGAGGGTGGTACAGAGAATTATTTTAAAAGGAGATAGACAATATTATGATGAACTATGTTTAAAAAGTATTAAAGCAAGCAGGATAAATAGTTAGCAATTAGAAAGCTCACTGAATTTCAGAAGGAAAGAGTTATACTTACCTCAGAATCATATAGCTGGAAAGACCATCTAGTCCAGCTTTGACCTGAGTAGGAATTCTCTCTACAAGGGTTCTTAATCTGGGTTGGGTCAATTTTTTTTTAAATAAAGATAGACAGACAGACAGACAGACAGATAGATAAGTAGATAGATAGGTGAGCTGTATTTCACTTTATTATTTTTTAATCTTATGTGTTTTATTTCAAGCATTTAATAGAATTATTCTGAAGAGTTCCATGACTTTCACAAGACTGCCCAAGTGGTCCATATTGCAAAAAAGGTTAAGGAGTCCTGTTCTAGATCATCCCCCCCAAAATGGTCTTCCAGCATCTTCTTGAAGATCTCTAAGGATGAGGAACTCACTGACTTTCAAAGCAAACAAACCCTTCAATTCAACTGAAAAACAAACAAAAAACCCATATTTTAAGTGAGTACCATGTATAAAACATTGTATTAGGAGCTAATGAAACAAAAGCATAAATAAAATATTCCCTGCCTGTCATTGAGGAGATTAGTTTTGGATAGTTCTGTATGTTAGGAAGCTTTGTTTCATTTTGTTCCACAAAACTTTGCACATCTGTATCTCCCATCCATTGCTTCTAGCTCTGCTCAGTGGAAGCCAAACAGCAAATCTCATTCCTTTTCCGTAACAGCCAATAAACTACATGAAAACAGCTGTCATGTGTTCCACACTCAAGGAACAACATCTCGATTTCCTTTACCCAATCTTCATTTGCCATGGTTTTGAGTCCTCTTATCATATTGGTCATCCTCTTTTGGACAGGACACAGCTGGTCACTGTCATGTCTAAAATGTGGCTGTTGAACTAAGCATACATCCTTAGATATAATCTAACCAGGAGAGACACTAGTGATATAACCATGTCTCTAGTTCTATTCACTGTGTTTTTGATAATAAGTTCATACTAGCATCTTTTGGCTATCCTGTCACTTTATTGACTCACTAAATTTGTAAATTTGTAATCCATTAAGACTGCAGATTATTTCCCCCTACATCCATTAGATGTTCTTGTAACTGAAGTCCTCCATCATTACTCTGTGTCTGCTTTGTGATTCTTTCTCCCCAGAGTTTTTCTTGATTTTGCACATTTGGACCTTACCTAATATTTTGTTTTAGAATTCTCTAACACATTTATCTTATTTATATCTATATATTCTAGCTCTCTATGTATACTTTATCCTCCAACTAAACTAAAATTCTTGAAGGCAGGGACTTTGTCTTATTTACACTTTATAATTTCCCCAATGTCTTACAGTCCCTGCACATATAGATAGTTAATCAATGTTTGTTGAATGAATGAATGAATGAATGAACGCTTCTAAAACTTGAGTTCTAATTTCTTCTTTTATCTAGGGAGCCTATAAAATGGTCCCTCCATATCTCTTCTGCTTTTCCCATCATTTAGCCCTAATCAACATTTGTTTTCTCAATCTCATGATGAGACAGGAAAGTTTAACATGCCCCTTTGGAAGTGTAAGACTTACAGCCCAACTATTCTAAGGGCCTTGGCTGACAATCTCTGCTGGCTAACCTGGGCTGATGCAAGGAGATACAGATTAAAGGGTTGCATGGAGTTTCCAAAGCTATATCTTTTGTCATATAGCTGAGTTAATACAGGACATATTAAACCCAGCTAGGACTTGTGCTATCACATCAGCACAGGGTAGAGGAGCAGGAAGACGTAGAACCACCAAAAAGAGTAACATTTAGGAGAGACAGGCTGTGTAGAGTCAACTCTACTAATGTATCTACTCCAGTTCTTACACTCTCCCACCCCTATAATCAAATCTTGTCCGCAGTAGCTGTTTTTCCTGCTACTCTCAAATCCTGGTCTTAAACTGCCTTTATATTTGTCCTTGATTGGCTTCTGATTTAGGACCTTGCCTTAGAGGACAGGATGATCTTCTCCACAGTCCAACCATATCAGCATTTTGATATGATATAGGATAGAATGGTATCAGGTATGGTCTTCAAGAAAAAAAAAATAGTTCTGTTGTCTCTTCCTGAATGAACTCTTCAAGGACCAGGATCTTCAACAGAATACTAGGAAAGATAGGGGAGAAGGGAACAAGCCATTTATTAATTACCTACTATGTGCCAGGCACTGTTCTAGGTGCTTTACAAATTTTATCTCATTTAATCTTTGCAACGATCCATTTTATAATTGAGGAAATTGAGGCAAATAGGGTTAACTGACTTGCCCAGGGTCACACAGAAAATTTTTGAGGCCAGATTTGAACTCATTCCTGACTCCAGGCCCAGTGTTCTATTTACTGTGCCACCTAGCTGGCTTTAGGATCCCCAAAATGTAAGGACTTCATACCGGAAATAAAACCCTCTCTATACCATCTCTGGCAAATGCTCATACAAATTCCTCTCGATAAATTTAAGTGATTGGAAATCCACTCATTTCCTGGGTAAGCCCATTCTATTTCTAAATGACTCTAAAGGTTAAGAAGTTTTTTTTTTTTTATGCCAGAAATGTATTTCTCTCTACAATGCCAAATATTTGTTCTTAAATCTACAAATAAAGCAAACTCACTATTTCTCCTCTGGAGGCAGAAAAGCATCCTGGATTTTGAATTACAAGACCTGAATTAGAATCTAAGGTGAGCTTTATACTCTATGTGTCCTGTCCTGAGGAAATCAATGTACTTGTGATTATTATCTTCATCCATTGGTTTAATTTGACTTCTGGATGAAACTGCATATGTTAAATCCTTTGCACTATTGGGGTCTAAATGACTTATTGTTTTCACTGGGGAAAGATTCCATAATATGAAGAAGTAACTTCATGTGTTTTTTGGTGGAGCCATATAACTTGATGTCATCCATACACATTAAAATTAATCAAGTGAGTAAGCAAATGGTTTAGTTCAACTACCTGTTAATTTTAGAAGCCATGCTATGGCCATAGAAGCCATGGAAGCTATATTTAGAAAATGTGATAATGGGTTTAAGACTAGGAAGAACCATATTGGGGTTTAAATACCTCCCTGAAATCAACCAATAAAAGAAACAAACAAACAAAAAAACCCAAATATGTTTGATATCAATTGCTCTTAATGTTACTGCATTGATTTTATGTTTTAAATAGGGAATATTGTTTTTCCATATAGACATTAACTACTCTAGCTTTTTCATTATATTGGGGTCTTTTTTTTTAATATGTTCATGATATGAAACAAAAAAATAATGAATGCAGAACTGAATCTAAGACTTCATAATAATCAATAAAAGCAATATCCATGCTGTGGATATTTTAGGGAATTCATTCAATATTTACCAAACTGATAATAATTTACTCTTTATACCCCAAAGCCATTTTGGCACACCTAACTAGCTAGGTAGCTAGAGTCAAGAAGACCTGAGTACAAATCTGGCCTCAGATATTGACTATCTTGGCAAGTCTGGGCAAATCACTTAATATCTGTTTGCCTCAATTTCCTGAACTATAAAATGGGGATAATAATAACACCTACCTCTCTGGATTGTTTTGAGGATCAAATGAGAGTATATTTGTAAGGCCCTCAAGCATTTAACACAGTACTTGGCACATAACAGGTATTTAATAAATTTTCCTCTTTGGTTCTCAGACTAGATAGATAGATATAGATATAGATAGACATAGATGTTTTATTTTATATATATATATATGTATATATATGTATATATATATATATACATATGTACATATACATATAGATTGAGTGATACAAGCTCAGAATGCTTTGTATGAAACAAATAAACATGTAGTTGGTCTATATTTGGAGTAGTCTCTTGCACTTCCATCTTTTTTTGTTTTTAGTAGATAGATGATACTTTCTGTTAAGATATGTGGTATCACACTTGTATCTGACAGGAAGCTGGTAAAGCACTTTGCCAGTGCGGCATAAGTATAGGGGTGGAGGGTCACCTCTGAAGGTAACACTAGTAAATATTGTTTAATTGTGAAGTGCTTGAGCCAACAATTACAGATCTTATATCCACACTTCAACTTTCCAATTTTGTAGAAAAACTCATTTCACCCATCTTCCCCTGATATAACTATTCTGTGGTTCATTATTAACTACGCACATACTTTTTGTTTTGAGTTTGATACAAACTGCCTTTTTTTGTTCAGCTTCTTGCAAACATATAGAGGACCAGAAGTTTTTTCACACCCTCCTTCCTTGGGAGCCCTTTTCCCTCTCTTCCTCCACCTCCCTTTCTCTTTCTGTCTCTGTCTTTTCCTCTGTCTCTCTGTCTCTGTTCCCCCTCCCCCCCACTCCGAAGTCTTTGCTTCTCTAGCATCTGCTAAAAGGTTTTTGGTTGATGGATTGTTAATTGTGTTCTTTGTGCTATGTTGACTCCTTGTATTACTTGACCCTTTTGACTTCTGCTTTTGTTGGCAGATTGAGAGAATCTAGCATTTCTGATAGATTTTTGTTTTTAAGATTCCACTTCACATACATCCTTTTTATGATATTCAAGTCATCTACTGGGTGCATCGGTTAGATATTTATGCAATATCCTATTGCTTTCTCAAATATCTCCTTTTGCTCTATCACTATTATTATTATCCTTATTATTATTATGAACTGTTCTCATCTTTGTCATACAAG